GTGACTCTGGGGGCCCATGGTCGTGTGGGGCGGCCAGAACCTGCGGACAGTTGACACTTGACTGCGATGGTCTGTCTCCCTCTCCTCCCAAGTCACGTCTTCTCCGCCTGAAGATCACAGCGCTGTTAACCTGGGTCTCTTCTAGCAGGTGTATGTTTTCAGCTTTTTAATTAACGTGCTTATGTTTTGGTCCCATCTGGCTTTTATCTTGGTGTAGGTTTTCATGTTGGCTTGTAACAGGTTTTATGACGGTGCTACTGACATCCTTCCCCCCCCAATTCATTCTTTCCCTTTTGGGTTATGAAATGCCACTTGTCTCACACACAACACAAAATGCACACACTCAGTCCGCGGGGTTCCGGGCTCCAGTCTCGCCGCCCCAGCCGCCAATCTCAGCACCGGCCACAACGCACCACATGGCTTTGCGCTGTGCGCGGCTCCTGCTGGGACTCTCCTCCCTGCGTGGGCTCCCACGGAGGCGGGAGGGCCCCCGTGACCGGTCAGCACACCTGTAGCAGCTTCAGTGACATAAACTTGGCGGATAGATCTGGAGGTCACCAGTCCGACGTGGGCCTCAGGGTACAGGTCCAGGGTCGGCAGGGGTGGGGGCAGCGTCCAGGGTCGGCAGGGGTGGGGGCAGCGTCCAGCTTCTGGAGCCTGCCCCCTCTTTTTCCTCCGCTTCTGGCCCCCCTCCATCTTCAAAACCCACCAACAGGAGCAGGGTCCTCAGGTTGGGTCACTCTGAGCTCCTTTTCTGCTTCCCTCCATTTTTAAGGACCCTGGAGGTCACATTGAGCCCTTGAGACAACCCCAGAGGCCCTCAAGGCCCTCAGACTGGCAGTCTCAACTCCATCCGTGCCCCAAACTCGCCACTACCGTGAAAATGAACACGTTCACAGGCCCCAGAAATGATGTGGACGCCTCAGCGGGGGCATCGTTCTACCTGCCACACTCATATTGTTCCTTTAAAAAAACCCTTTGGGGTGTTTTTCTACATAAATTTTAGAACAAATTTGTCAAGGTCCCACTGTACTTGGCCATCTTCCTCCTTGGCCCCTCCTCCCTGGAAGAAAACCTAGTTAGGTTTCCGGTGACAATGAATCGAAGTTGTAGCATGAGGTGGGTGGAGCGTTTTATACGGCCTAACAATCTGCGATGGAAGCCCAATCTCCAGTTATCGCACCAGAGGAAGGAATCCCTTTTCTTTCTACATGTGGAAAATACTGAAAGACCAGCATAATCGTAAGAAGAATATACTCTATTACAGATACATAGTACTTCCTGTTTGGGATGTGGCACCTTTTTAAATCCTGTTTTCTGAGATTTCTTTTTCTCATGCTAAATCATTACCCATGTTCCAATCTGACGTTGTAAACTTGTGTTCTTTTTCTTAAAGGGCTCCCCACCCCTCCTGCCAAATGCGGTCCGGGCCCCACAGCCTGTCTCCCTGTCCGCAGATCAAACTTGTCGCACCTGTTACTCAAGCCTCAGGCTCGTTCTCCACCCCTCCCAACTCCTCTCCACTCCCCTGGGCCACAGCTGCAGCTCTGTCCTGCACAGGGCCCCGCTCTGCTCTTCTTCATCTGTTCTGAACTGCCTTGGCAATGGTAAACCCCACTGCCCACCCCAGACACAAGGCCTTTATCTGTCCTCTCTGTATCCCTGGCCCCGAGCACCCTGGGATTGGGATCGCAGGCGACACCAACTCTGTGCATTAAATCAGTATTTCTCTGTGAAACCCCGAGACAGTAGGGAAGGCTAGTTGACCGTCCCCTGACCTTGCTTCCTGCCTGCAGAGAAGTCCTGTTCTCAGGCGTTCCTAGACACTGGCACACAGAAGTGTATCGGTTTACGTAGTCTGCCCAGGAATGGGACCACGGCGCACATGTGACCCAGCGCCTGGCCCCTGGAGAGCTGACGGTGCAAGTGTCCCCACCTGTCCCCGTCCAGCCACAAATTCGTTTTCCGTGTTGCTCCTCAGACTTACTGAGCCGTTCTCAGTCAGCGTGGCCACGCTTTCCCCCGACGAGGCTGCCCATGAGGGCTGTGTCCTTTGGTCTAGGCAGGGCCTGGTCCGCAGCTGGGGGTCCATGCCCCACACAGCCCCAGGAACTGCTTTTAGAAGATCAGACTGAATCACGTCACATCTCTCCCTAAGACCTTTTTGTGCTGACCAGGCCCGTGGGGATAAAGTCTGGTCATTGACACACCCCCTTGTCCCATCGGACCTGCTGTCCTCTGGTTCTTGCTGGACTCAAGCAAGTCCAGCGTCTAGACTTTCTCTCCCCCCTACTTCCTCTGCCTTAACCTTTAACCTTCCAATTCGGCCGTGGGGGTCCCTGAAGCTGAGGAACACTGTGGGCCTCAGGAGTTTTAAGGGACCCGTTTTTCAGATGCTTAATGTGCCTAAAGCTGATGTGCCTCGGAGCCTCTCTGGAGCCCCCCTCCCCGCCAGTGCCCCCCTCGGGCCCACCCCAGGTCTCACCACAGCTCCCAGTCCCGAGGCAGGAAGTGTGATGGTCTTGTTGAAGACACCCGAAGATGATGCAACAGTTTCCCTCCATTAAGGCACCACTGAGACATGCATTTCAAGTAAAACTTTATTTACAGAGTTAGACACCAGGTTTTGTGATACATGTTGACTAAATTACATTGCTAGGAACAGCGATGGTTCAGTCCTGAGGAAATTTCCACGCAGAACCTTGACAAACCAGTCTGATCAATAAAAGGCTTTAAGCAAAGAAGATATGCCATTAAAATAAATTCTGTGGAATGAAAATGTTTTCAAAAAGAAAAAGGGCCAACATGAAATTCTAATTGGTAAGAACCTTGACTATTTAAAACGGATGCTGCTGGGCGTTAAACCCCTGCGGTATTTTAACCCGTGGGGTCCATTTAAAAGGTTCCTGTCACAGCTTTATGTTAAAATGTCAAGCACAGCTCATCAGAACTTAATTCTTTTGCAACTCAACTCAGGGTAAAATAATTTCAGATATTAAGTTGACTGGAAAGGGTGTGTGGGAAGTGCATGGCGTTCCCTTAGGGGGCATCTCAGAAAATAAAAGTGTGCGGCCGCCACAGGGCTCCCCCTGCCCTGAGCCCTTCAGGCACTGCGTCCTCACCTGGCGCTGCCTCTCCCTTCTCACCTGCAGCTCTGGCCTCGATCCTCCCCTCCACCCTCCAGCTGCATCTCAAGTGTCACTACTGGAGAAGCTGCCCTTGTCCCCTTGTCCCCGGAGCCAACGCGCTCTCCTCCTTAATCTACCTCCGCTGCACCAGGAATGGCCCCTTTTCATGAACCCCCACGTGCAACCGCTCATGAAGCGTAAGCGCCAGGCCCGCGCCTATGGAGACGGCTCCTCTCCGTGACACCCAGGGCCGGCGAACGCAGGCAGGCGTGGTCGAGCTCCTTAGAGAGCCACGGCGGTGGGGCGGTGGGAAAGGAGTTAGCGCCCGCGGGTCGGAAGTGTGCGCGCTGAGGGAGTAAAGGCAGAGGCCGTGGGGCTCCCACGGGGTAGTGACAGAATGGGAGGTGACCGGGTGACTGGCGTGAGGGGCACAAGGCCCAACAGAGTGGGCAGGGGCGGGTCTGCATGGAAGAGGGACTGTAGTCCGTGGTGTCTCCGGGCCGACATTGCCCGCAGGTTTACATCCGGGGGCCAGTGGCGACCTGGGGCTGACTCACCCCATGTCACCCCATTCGCACAATCACACACGTTGGTGGGCGGCGTGGACCCTGAACCTGCTTCGTTCCACCTGCAGGTGTCTGGCCTCAGTTGGCTCCAGGAGGCAGAGCCCGTTCTCCACACCCAGGCCTTCCTCCCTCCAAAACCAAATGTAGTGGTCGCAGAACGGCACCGCTTCTCCCGGAAGGCAGGGGAAACCCTGGTGAACCCTCTTCCCCTGTGTGATGCTCCCCGTTGGCAATGCAACTGTGCAAACACCTGTTCCTAGAGCGGTCTCCGTTCACCGGGCTTCATCCCCCCAGGTCACCACCATCAACCCAGTTACAGTCCCGTCCCGTCCAAGAATGTGGCCACCATCCTGTCTCTGATTTGAATTTTCCACTAAAATGCCTTCTGCATGAAGGTCCCCACAGGCGTCCATTCAAGAAAAAAGCTTTTGTCACTTAAAGCCTCTGCCATCTTTCAAAGTGCAACTATCGCTGGGAAGAGTGGGAGAGCCAGGCCCTCGGGAACTGCAGCAGACGACCTGAGAAGGCCTCATGCTCACCAGCGTGGGAAGAACCTTGCGCAAAGGCTGTCCAGCTACGCGTAACATCTCCGCGTCCTCCCTCCGGCGATCGAGCAAAGGGGCCCAACTCTGCACCACCCTAGTGGCGGCGTTGGGAAGGGCGGAGGTCCAGTGCACCTGCTGGGGCGAGGAAAGGAGCAGGAAAGGGGAGGGTGGAGCCCCCTGGAAAAGGTAGGTGACAGCGTTGCTAGGGATGGCCTCCCGCGGATGACCGCGGGCCAGGATTTAGCACTTATCTCAAACCTTGCCAACTCCTCGGATTCTACCTTGCCGTCCCTCCCACGGGGAGCTTGGCAAATACCTGTTGCCTGCACGAGGCCTCCTAATTGGGGAGGGCACGTCTGCTGAACATTCCAGGTACAGAGCGTACCTGGGCACTCCAACCGAGACAGGTCTCAACTCCGGGTGCATGCCCGAGTCGGGGCCACAGGGCGTGCCTGCCGGAGGTGGGCGTTCCCTCCACCCAACCCGCGCCCAGAGCCCTTCTCCGGCCGGTACCCACGCTCACCCGGCTCAGCCAGGTGGCTGCCACTCGCATCCGCGGCCACAGCGAGGCTAAGCCCCAGAGCATGCGCAGAGGCCAGAGCCGGGGGTCCAGGGTGCCAACGGCCGTTGCCCTCAACCGTCAGCCGCAGGAGACCAATCCGGAGTCGTGTTGTTGCCGAGGGCTCCGCACTGAGTAGGGACTATGGAAACAATCAGCCAATCAGGAGGCTTGTCGTTGCCGCAGAGCCCCGCCCCCGACAAGGGCACCGGGTGACGGGATAGGGTCATGGGGTGTGATCGCCCCTGAGCCACGGGCCCGGAGGGCGGCGGCGTCCCCTTGCCCGCGGCCGCGAGCAGCACGCCGGGCCCCGCACTCGCCCGTCCGCCAGTCCGCCCAGCCTTGGCGGCGGCGCGGCCCATGCGGCTGGGGGCGGAGGCCCGCGCGGGCGGGGCGTCTCAGGTGCGGCCGGCGGCCCGCGGAGGCGAGGGGGCGGTGGCGGGGCTGGGCGCGGCCCGGTGATTGGTCGCCGGCCGCGGGCCCCTAGGCGTCCGGAGGCTGCCGGGCGGGGAGGGGCCGGCGGTGCGGTCCCCGCGCGGAGCCGGGAAGATGCTGCTGTCCCTGGTGCTCCACATGTACTCGCTGCGCTGCGTGCTGCCGGCCGCCGTGCTGCTCGGCACGGCCCCCACCTACGTGCTGGCCTGGGGGGCCTGGCGGCTGCTCTCCGCCCTCCTGCCCGCCCGCTTCTACCAGGCGGTGGACGACCGGCTCTACTGCATCTACCAGAGCATGGTGCTCTTCTTCTTCGAGAACTACACCGGGGTGCAGGTGAGGCTCTGCGCGCCCCTGCCGCCCCTCTCCGCCGGGGTCCCGTGGGCGCGCGGGCGCCACCCCGGCTCGGAACCAGCCAGCGCCGCCGGGACCTTTGGGGTGGCTCCTCGCTGCGTGTCCCGAGAGCACGTGCTGTGTCTCCATCCTCCCACGGCGAGGGAAGTTTCAGGTTCTTACTCTAGGCTTTGGCCCAGTGCCTCCTTGCAGAGACCCCAAGTTCGCTGGGAAGCTGGAGCTACCTTGGTCTGAGCTACCAGTGGGGTCCCCGCCCCTCTTTCCTTGCTGTACCCCTGCGACTTGGAGCTTGGGTCAGCGGGAAGTAGGGCAAGCAGTGGACAGTTTGGGGCCTTTGCTATGGGAAGGTGGTCATGTGTAAGCTCAGAAGTGCGCTTTGAAAAATCGGAGACGAGACCTTCTCTTGAAACAAGTTGTTACTGTTTGGACAAGAAATGCAACTTTGTTTTGCCTTCCTGGCCAGTGAAAGCTGGGTGAGGAAATGAATACATTTGTTACTGTAGAAGCCTCGCCGTAGATAAAATTCTTGCCAATTTGGACTGGGCTTAAATGTGTGGCTGATCTTTTTTGTTTCAATCTTTCTTTCTCTATGGAGATTGGATGTGTAGATTAAATTTGTTTATTGGGTTCTTTGAAATCTCATACAAAATAACAATTGTGAATTTTTCTTTTATCTTTCAGTTTGGAAACAAAGAGTTTGATTCTAGCTTATTGCTAGAGTCAGTTGCTCCTGTTTTTTTCTTTTCTTGGTTTAGTGGTGTGAGGGGAATGGGATGGCTTTTTTTGGGGGGGTGGGTGTCTTTCTGCTTTGTCTTTCTTTACCTCCCAAAGCCACTGTTTTCACCCTGCTGTCAGTCATCGGCTCCTGTTCGGACTTTTGGCGCTGCTGTCAGCCCCTGAGGACCCAGTGTCCCCTGGCTGGAGGTGGTTGGGCGGGCAGGGAATTAGGAGAAGCCGGGTCTCTGCTGAAACCAGATTCTGTGTTCACCAGGAGAGAAAGAGAGAGAGACTGCCCTGCCAGAAAATGATTTCTCAGGAAATCATTTAAAATGGGCCTCGTTTAAATTATGTACTGATGCAGAACTATCGTTTCCCCCTGTGCTCATCATATGTATCTAAATGTATGGTTTTATCATGTTTAAGTCTTTAATTTCACATATGACAGCTGACCTGGACTCAGAACATGTGACGATGTCTGTTACCCCCAGAAAGGTAATTCTCCCAGTGCTGGGTTATTTTATTTTATTTATTTATTTTTAATTTAATTATTTTTCAAGTACAGTTTTCTGTCTTTTACTCCCATCCCAGCCCCCCCCCCCCCAGGTTATTTTATTTTTGTTTAAAGAACGTAACACGCTCCATACAGCATCACGTACAATGTGTCACTGAAGTGCTTGGTGTTTAGCAAGTTCCTTACTTTAAAAAGCGATTGTAAAATTTGGCCAGCTTTCTGAAATTGTGTCTCTTACCCCATGCCCTGTTCAGTAGAGACTTCCTATTCATTTTTGAGTTCTCAGTACATGGAAGTTAATCTGTTGATGACCTTTGGGTGCTCACTTCTAGGATTCCTAACAAACTTCCCCGTGGGACCAACATTAGGTGAACTTTCGAATTATACTCGGGCCCATCAGACATCCTTTCAACTGCTGTTGCTGAAACTACTGTTTATAACTTACCTGTGTAGGTCCTCCTAGAATCTCATTAGTGCTGAAAGTCAACTGGGTGCTTCTTCACTCTCTATTCCTTTGGAATTTTAAGTTTTACGAGTCCGTCTCTTAATTTGAGACCCACTGACAATTAGAACACACCTTTTCACTATCTGTGGGGTGGGAGGGCACCGACTGAAATACCGCATTACATGCTTGTGGCTGCCATCAGAAAGCACCTCTGATTTAGTGGCTTAAGCAGTCGAAATTTATCCCTGAACAGTTCTGGAGGCCAGGTGTCGGAAACCAAGGCGCTGGTTGGCCTGCACGCGTTCAGGAGCCTCTGGAGGAGAACCCTTCCCTTGTTTCTTCCAGCGTCTGGTGTCTGTGGACGCTCCCCGACTTGCAGTCACCCCACTCCAGTCTCTGCCTCTGGGGTCACGTGGCCTCTTGCTTGTCTGTCTGTCTCAGATGTCCCTTGGGTATCGGGCCTACCCAGGTAATCCAGGGTGGCCTCTTCAACTGGAAATCATGAGCAGTCTGCAAAGACCCTTGTTCCAAACACGGTCACGTTCCCGGGTCCTGCGCTCGGGAACACGCACACATTTTGGGGTCATCATTAAAAGCACGACCATACAGCTTCCAAGTCCTGCCTCTTCACTGTGTTGTTGCTGTTTCTTGTTTATTTTTGCCCTGTTTTGTTAGGCATTTGGCATCTGCTTGCTTTGACGCGCTTAAGTAAAGGGAGCCTTGGCTTTAGATGCCAAGGTTACTTTTAGGATAATGTCCCGTCCTGGCTGGTGTGGCTCAGTGGATTGAGCGCCAGCTTACAAAGTGAAGGGTTGATGGTTTGATTCCCAGTCGGGGCACATGCCTGGGTTGCGGGCCAGGTGCCCAGTACAGGGCTCATGAGAGACAACCACGCATTGATGTTTCTCTCCCTTTGTTTCTCTCTCCCTTCCCCTCTCTCTAAAAAGTAAGTAAAGTCTTTTAAACAAATTTCCCATAAGCTTTTAGTGTCTGATTTTCAAAGTAACCTCCACATATCCCTCAAATAGAGTATTTGAATAGTTGTCTTATTTTCAGAACCAGTTTTTATTCTATATAATAATAACCAACTTCTTATTCATGTGCTGGTGTTTTTTTAATTCTTAATTGATTCTTACATTCTCATCTTGTGATAGCGAAACTACCTGAGCCCCTGATGACTTGGAGGCGGTGTGACTTCTCCACTAAGCGCTTGCTGTGCGCAAACTCAGGGACGCACTGGCGGCTGGGTGTGTCCCCGTTGTGGGGCCGTGTGGGTCAGAGAAGGAGCTTGGACGTGTGATGCCTGGACACCCCACAGGGAAGGAGGCCGGTGTCCGTGCAGGAGCGAGGCGGACGGAGTGCGGGGACTGCCGGTGGAGGCCTTGGTGAGGACGGACGGACGGACGGACGGGCGGGCGTCTCTGCCCTAGGTTTCTGCCCCCGGCGTGGAGGTGGATGTGTGGACAGTGCTTGGAATAGCTGTGGCCAGTAATGAAAACTCTTTTAAACATGTTTTGGAAGCTGATAAAAGTTACTGTTATTTTTTCTTAATGCCAGAATTTTCTCTTTAAAAAATGTCTGCCCTTTGCCCTCCTTCCAACACCATGCACCAGAAGCTGGTCACTGGTGTCTGTAGGCCAGAGAGTCTGGTGATGTGATGAATGTCTGCTCATCAACAGCTAATGCGTGTTCGAGTCACCATTTTCTTCCTGCTTAAATCTGTTGGAATTTACCTTAAAATGGATTTTACTCTGATGGCTCTGTTTGCTAATTCCCTCTTCCCCAAATGCTGACATAATACATTATACAACAAAATGTGAAATTTGATCGATAATAAATTAGTGTTTCAACTGGCCTACTTTGTAGAACAGTGGCAGGGGGTTCCACACACACAGTTTACTTTGCCTCTCTCATAAATTCGCCTAATTTCGTGGAGCTAAATACACTGAGAGTTGATTCTTCTTAAATGGAATTAGAATTGAATATTTCCTTTAATATTTTCTTATTGGACTATGGTTCTTAATCAGAGGTTGAAATCGACAGACAGCCCAAAATTAAGTACTGACGTCACACTGAGGAGTCCCTAGAACCTGCTCTTCATGCATCCCTGCGGCGCCAGAGCGGGCACCTCGCTCCAGGCCCTGTGCCGGGCACTGCTAGATACAGGGAGGAGAAACAGGGACAAGGCCTCGGCCCTTACACGGCTCAGTGACATCTCGCGGGACAGGGCAGCACAGAAAGTGGAAGTGCACTGTGCTGGGTGAGGGTGTCGGCCCCGTGGGGGAGGGTCGGGCTTGGGAAGCTGCCCTGAGCAAGCGGCACTCGCCTGGAGCTCTGAATAGCCAGTGTGCCAGGCTCCGCGGGCATCGGGAGAGCAGGTCGCAGAAAGAGCAGGCAAGCACAGAATGCGGAGAACCCCAGGTCACGTCCTGTCCTGCTGCGTGTGTCGTCCTGTCCTGCTGTGTGTGTCACACCACGCTACCAGGTGGCACGGTTCTCCCCACTTGGCAGATGGGAGAACTGAGGCACAAAGGGTGACGGGTGTAGTGGTCACGCCAGGATTCAGTCCAAGGCAGTCTAGCCTCAGGGTCGATTCCCCTAGGACGCTCCTCCAGGCGGAGAGGTTGTGCCGGTTGGAATGAGAGCCCCTCTCCCAAGCTGCTTACAGTGGGGAACGTGGGCAACGAAGCCAGGTGGTGATACCGAAATCGGAGTGTGCGTTCCTTAGCTTTGTGACCCAGAGAGAAAGACTTTGCACAGGCTTGTCACGCCGCCGTGACCGGACTGTGAACAGGAGGAAGTGGCCTGGTGTGTTTAGGGGCAGGAGGTTCTCTGCTGATAAGGGGATAAAAATGAAGCCTCCTCAGTTCTGCCCTGGCCAGATTTGCCCTTTGTTGGTCTCTTCTTCCCCGCACCCCTCCCCCTCCCAGGAGACCAGCACGTTCCCAGCAGGGCGCCCGTGGCCTCCCCCATCTGCAGTGTGGGGGTCGCTTCAGTGTGACATTAGCAGATGCACTAGTGATGTTAGCACACGTTATAACGCGTCTGTTTTCCCTTCTACCAGACTGCAGCCCTCGGAGGTGGCAACAAAGGGGAGAGCTACTTGGTTTTTTCCTTGTAGCAGAAGGGCAGGTTAGTCTACAGGGGATCCTGGTCTGCATTTGTGTGAATGTAGGTGAACATCACTTCCAAGGGCAGGGTTTGAATGGCCTTACTGGTGCACAGGTTTTGCTGTAACAGGGTCTACAGGTGTAGAGAGTCTAATCACTTTCCTCACTTAGATAAAGGGGGGAGAACTGTGAGCTCCACTGTCACAAGGAGACCGAAGGAGGCGCGGGTGGAGACCTCACTTCATCAGAGACCTTGTGACGGCTGGAGGGGGTCCCGGGCCGCCAGCAGTGCAGAGAAACCTTCGCTGGCCCCCCAGTGAGGACTCGCACGGTTCGCAGCTTTGAACCAACGCCGTTCTGCCGGGTCTGTTCTGTTTCCTCCGCGTCTCTGCAGGAGCTGGCACGGGGCCCCCAGTTGGTGAGCACTGCGTGGGTAGTTCGGGCGCTGCGTGTGCACACACGCCCGTGTGTATGTGAGAGACTGCAAGTGACGTGTGGCTCCACTCTGGTTGGGTTCCAGGTTAGAATTCCAGAAGTGTGAGAAAGTGAGGGGTGGTCCTGGAGAGCAGGGCACACTGGGTGCTAAGCACCTGCTGGGCGCTAGCATTTCACTTCGATAAAAGAGTTTGCACCCTGCATCACATATGCTTCGGTGTAGAAGGAAGTCAGTTCCAAAACAGAGAAAGGGACATGGGACTCAGGGAGCAGAGGCGTCGTGTGGGGGCTGCAAGCGCCCCTTCCCTGGGCTGGAGGGTTTCTGTGGGTCAGCCTGGGTCCCCCACCCGGGCGGGCAGGTTGGCCTCGGGGCTGCCGGCTCCTCGTGCACCAAGGCCCTGCTTTGCTCCTGTTCTCCGTGTGTTTTCTGTAGGAAAAGTTTTTTTAGGTCAGTTTTTAATTTTATATCGCTCCCAAGTTTCTTGTCTCTTTGAGTGAGTATTCAAAGTGAAAATATATAAGCTCTTAATACACGAGAAGCCTTCTCGTTTGACCATTTTTATCTGGAATTTTGGCAGAGAAGAGTCCTGCAATGTTTAGCAAGTTTGGGCTGTGGTGTGAGGGCCTGGGTGGTACTCCCCACGCCCTGTCACGCTGCGTGCCCCCCGAGTGGCGGCGCCCCACCCCTCACACCTTCCTCGTGGAGTCTGCCTGAGCCAGCAGGTGAGGCTCTTGGGCCGGAAGGCTGCGACCCAGCTGTTCCATAAACGCGCCTTGCCCCACCCAGCCGGCCATTCCTTCTGGACCCAGCGGATGGAAACTGGGCTGTGTGACCGCATCTTGCAGCAGGGCCGCCCACGGAAGCTGCAGTGCGCCCTTCCCAAAAGGGAGGAGTGTTCGCTTTCGCGTAGTGAGCAGCTCGGAACAGGCCTGGGGGTGTTTCTCATCCAGATCAGGTCTGAACAAGCAGTCTCTTTCTATAAAACCTGTGGCCTCGCAGCAGCCCAGACACAGCGACCCCTCCCCCCCCACCCGCTGGCTCCGTGCCCCAGGCGCCTCTGGGTCAGGGTGCTCAGAGCCGGGCTCTCCTCCCCGCCACCTGCGCTGGCCTCACACCTGCAGACAGACGCCCAGGTGGCCGCGCCAGGGCCCCTGACCTGGCCTCACACTTGCTCCTTCCTCCTCTCTGGGCCCATCCCCACCGAGGCAGGTACCCACTAAAATGAAGAGAAAACCAGGTGAAGTAGAGCGTTTGGAGCCTGTGCTCCCAGTGACTAGTGCCTTGCCGTGCAGAGGAGGGAGAACGCGTCCTCTGCCTTCTTAGGTTTGTGGTGGGGGGGGGCCTGCAAATTAGCCGGACAGAAGACAGATTAACAAGAGAGAAGTCATGCACGTTTCAGTGGTGGTAACATTTCTGTGTGCATTGGGCGGGGCCCAGGAAAGAGACGAAACTGGGGGCAGTGGCCGGCAGGCCGCTCCCCGTCCACCCGCGCTCCCCTGCACGCGGGCTCTCCCCCTGGACCTCACGCGGCCCAGCCGGCCTTTCCCGTGCTGTGCACTGGGTGACATCAGCTGTGCAGCGTGTCTCCGCCCACGCATTGGCACTGTCCCTTCCACCGCGCCGCGGGGCTCTCTGAAAAGCCAGGGGCACAGCTTTGGAGCAGAGGCGGGGACTCCCAGGAACACCAGTCCTTGTGTTTCACCGTGCGACTGTTCTACACTTAACTACTCTTGTCTTAACAAGCAAAAGTTCATGTGGAAAGTGGGGGGGGCGGGGGAGAAAGGAGCCAGCAAGGCTGCGTGGGCGTAGGAAACAGGTTGCAGCGGCAGGAGAAGGGCCCGTGGAGCTTGGGGGAGAGAGAGGCAGAGAAAATCGCCTGCCTGGGAGGCGAAGGGGAGGCCAGGCTTGCTCCAGAGCGTGTGCCCTCGGGGAGACGAGGGTGGGCTCACGGCCGAGAAAGGGCGAGCCCTTCCTTTCTAACTGTGCTGATTGTGCTCTCTGAGCCTCCGAGAAAAGTCTGAGTTGTGGTAATCATGACTGGAAATAACCGTGACGTCGTGTGTGTGTCGGTTTTTTTGACCTTCTCCTATTTAGTATGTTATAGGAGTGCATGCTTTAAAACACCAAAGTAATGCTTCTTTTTGTTTTATCTTTTAGATATTGCTATATGGAGATTTGCCAAAAAATAAAGAAAATATAATATATTTAGCAAATCATCAATGCACAGGTTTGTATTTCATTTGTGTGAAACTTAGGTTTTTCTACAGAAAATGTGGGCATTCAAAGTAATGTTCTTATATATTTAAATGAAAAACTTTGTTATTGTTTAAGCATGAATTTTTAATGCAGATGTTATACGTGACCTTGTATTTCTGCGATTTTTACTATGAATCGTCCTATTCTTACCTTTCCCTCCGATGGGTGTAAGCTGTTTTCTTTCTTTTTTTCTATGTGTTTGAATAGTTCTTTAAAGAGTCTGCGTGTTCTTCCTTTTGTCCGTTGTGTTCCTGGATGTGGGACTGGGGGGCCCTGCTGTGGATACATTTTGTAGTTTTGACTGAAGCTGCAGAAAGTTTGACATGTGAGTGGTCAGCTCAGCATTGATTTCCAGTGTCTGCGGGTCCTTTTGCCTCTTCGGGTGCTTTGGTTTAATTGCAGCTCCGTATTCTGTCAGAAGAATCCCAGAGGACTTCGGTCCCCCGTGGAGTACGGTGTGTACCTTAAATTAGGTCAGGGTGCCTCTTAAACTTCTCCTACTGCATTAGCAATCCCCGACTCGCAGGGATTTGCAGACAGAGTCCCGTGACCCCTCCCCCTGTGTCCCCAGGGGCGCCCTCCTGTGTAACGGAGCTCGGGGCCAGGACCCAGACACTCACGCTGGTCACAGGGCTTTCGGGTTTACAAATAATTCGGTTCAGAAAAAGTCCCGCTCCATGCTTTTCAAACCTGGGACTGCTTCGACACACACTTCCCAAATTCCATCTTCACTTTAAAAATTGTAGTGCCCGGAAGTTAGAAGCTGACAACAACCTGACCACTGTGACTGCCGTGACTGGCAAGGCTCAGTTTGTTGGGCGCCGGCCCGCAAGGCGCAAGGTCACTGGTTCGATTCGCAGTCAGGGCCATGCCTGGGGTGGGCTCGGTCCCTGTTCAGGGTGTATGCCAGAGGCAACTGATCGAGGTTGCTCTCCCTCCCTCCCCCCTCTCTAAAAATAAATAAGTAAAGTCTTCAAAAAATAAGTAAATGGGACATAAAAACACCCTGACCAGTGGCGTTGCCTGGATGGAAGGCCACTTAAGCCATGGCCAGCGCTGGCTTTCTCCCAGCAGCCGCATTGCTTCGTGACCTAGTTGCATTTATTTGCACCTAGACTGCAAATACGGCAGAGAGAGTGGAAGAAGTGGAAGTGCATTTTTCTCAGCTTAGCGCCTCAGCGACCACTTCCAGTTTCTCCGGACGGGTTTAGCGCAGCAGTGTCGGGAGGAACGCCCACCTGTCTGTGCTCTGCAGACCTGGTCAGTGTGGCGGGCTCAGTTGATCCGAGTTCTTCAGGTCCAGCTTCCGCAGAGCAGCCAGCCCTCTGGTCTGCGTCTGCTTCCCACTCGGCCTAGAGAGCAGGCTCACCGCGTGCTGTATTCTGGTGTTTCTCCAGACATGCGTGGGCTTCGCACTGCTGACCAAGGCTCGCCCTTCCTGGCCTGCTGCCGTGGTGTATTTCTGCCACGCGGACCTGGCCCCGGGGAGCCCAGACTCCCTTAGTGTGAGCTGCTGGCTCATTCATCCATACGGCTTTCTTTCTGAGCAGGAGTCTCTCTTAAATGACTTTCTCGTTCACCTTCCTGGCCCACTGCCTGTGGTCCAGGGTTTGGTGGAGACACAGTTCTGTTCGGAGGGCGGTCACCGCAGTGCTGGCGGGGACGGGGTCACGGGGACAGTGGCGCAGCCGCAGCTGCTGGTGGTGTGCTCACCACACGTTGGCTTTCACACAGGAGTCCTCTCGATGAGGACTCCTGGGGAAGCTCCGGGAGGAGGGCAGGCCTTGAACGTGCTCCTCCTGTGTTTGGGGCGGGAAGGAATTGGTGAGCTCCAGCTGCTGAGGACCCAGAGAACTGACCGTGGGAGGCAGTCATGTCCCACGTCCTGCTGGGCAGCGGCCACCCAGCCCTGGCCCTGCCCTCCTCCAAGGCTGCCTTCCAGGGCCAGGGCTGAGAAGGGCGTGCTGAATGCCTTTCAAAGCCCGCAACCTGGGAGCATAAGCAGGGCCAGGGAAGGCATTTAGCCTGTAAAATATTAAATTGCTTGAGAACTTCAAGCCTCAGTCTGAATACAGGGTGGGGCAGAAGTAGGTTTGCAGTTTGAGTCTGCAGACACCGAGTTTCTTCTTGTTTATTATTTATCGGTCGTTGGTTTCCCATACGAACACCAGGGAGCCCACCTCCGCCCCCCAGCCTCCACCCCTGTATGATAGATTTGGAGCCTTTTCCCAGAAAAAGGAAAGTTGGGGGCACAGAGGAATTGGCCTTTGGCTCCAGGCTCCAGGGGCCCCCGGAGATTTTCCGTGGGCTTTGGTCACTTGCGGGCCTGTTGTGTCCAGGGGCCCTTCTTAAAACCCCCGTGAGGTGTTCGTCATAGCTGAGTACCTGCAGCTGTGAGCAGCAGCAGGCACGTTTCAAGGGCTGCTGCTCCGCGTGGACTTCCCAGTTCACCCTCCTCGGGACCAGCCAGAGTCCGAGTCTCCTCTTGGCCCAGCCTCTGAGAGCTGGCGACCTGTCAGTGCACTCTCGCCTCCCCTGCTTCCTCGCCACCCATCCCTGGTCCCTGCACTTTCAGTCCCTGCCACCTTGTTTTTCTCCGGAGTCAGCAGGGGCAGCGGCTCTGATTCCTTCCTGCTCTGGCCTCCAGTTGCCTCACTAGCCTCATGAAACGCTCTTCCTGCTTTGGGGGTCATCTTTCTTGACTAACAGCCTGTGTGGTGAATAGATTGTCATGCAAAGGTGTGGGCTATGGGGTCAGAGAGACCCTGGTTTATTTGCTGTTCTGCAACAGGCTGTGTGATAGTGGGCAGATTACTTAACCTCTCTGAGCCCTACTGGTCAGGTGTGAGTAGTATCTCTTGGTCAGGAGTTTCAGGCAGTTTGTGTAGCTGGCCCACAGTCTCAGAGCACCAGAGGTCATGGATCTGGGCCAGGCCAGACCTCCCTGCGCAGTCTCTAGACTCTGCAACACCCTCGTGAATTTGGAACTTGTCACGTGGGAACGTGGACCGGGAAGGCTTGCTTGTCTTGCTTCCCCGCCTCCTGGCTGCTCCTCCTGTCTTCCAAGTGAAGCAGACAGTGGCTCTGCCCTGCAGGACCTGCATGAAAAAGTTTTTATGTAGCCACATTTCTCTGTATCTTAAATTATGCCAGGGCACAAAATGTAAATGTTACTATAAAGGAAATATGTTACCACCTCAGCTGTCAGAAACTCAGCTCTCTCTTGTCTCCTGTCTTGAAACCTCATCGAAAATAAACAGCAAACGTGAAAAAGATATTCGAGGAGCAGAAATGGATGACACGGAGCTTGTCTCTCTCGGCCACTTAGTTTAGTTCTTAAATGTTCCCACTGAAGTTTTTGAAGACTAAGGGCATAACCCAGGACAGTGCGTCACAAATAGGACATGTGTTTAAAATGTTACACCTTCTCTTAAAAGTGTTTGGAAGTTGCATCCTAGGCCATAATATATCCATGCAGATTTTAATATAAAAGTGCACTGTAAAAATTTCTCCAGACTTTAAAAGTAGTTGCAGGAAAAGATACCAACCAACTCTTGTTTTTAGCCTGGAACCCAGGCCCTGTTCTCACCCCTGATTCAGAACCGACTCACACCGGCTGCAGTCACTCCGGCCTCGAGTGCTCAGTTGCCAAGAGGTGATGAGAAGGGGAGAGCCTGGCCGTGAGGGTGCAGGTGGTGTGAGCGTGAGGGGAGGGGACCGCTGGGTGTCTGGAGGAGGTTTCATCCTTAGAGCAGTGACAGGTGGCAGCTTCCTGGCGGAGGTGTCCCCCATGGACATGGGGTGGGCTCACTGACCACCAGGCATCACTACTGGGAGGGCGCTGTCATCACATTTATCTTCACAGTCATCGCAATTCTTAAATCCTCATGGAAGAGTTTACTTGAAATGGCTAAAAAGTTTAAAAAGACGACTATAATGACTGATACAGTATTTTCCCAAAAGGATAACTTTCAGTGTTGAAATTGGCTAAATCTCTGCACCTTTCTGTCACGGTCGAGAGTTAATGACCCTGTAATTGTGGAAACCGCCCCCTTTGGTTAAACCCTTCTTGTAACCCCTTAAATTTCTCGGCTTGTATTTCATACAGGATGAATGAAATAAAACTCTTTGTTTTGTATTTTTTAAACATTTCCCCTTGATTTTACCTTGTACGGTGTGATCTTGGGACTGTGTGTCTCTTACACAGTCTTATTGCTTTGCTCTGAGGGCCCTGCCCTCCAGCTCACCCACAGGCCACAGGCGCTAGAAGACTCCCTCCTTGTCCACTCTCGTCACTTCCGCTCCTCCCAGGGTCCGGGCCAGTTTGCAGCCACTTCCGTTCACATCTGCTCGCAGGCCTTCCAGACCCCGACTGCCGCCCCTTCCTGTCACTTCACTGGGCACCATCCTCTGCACACCCTGCTGGCTCCTGGTTCTCACCAAGGGCAGGTTCCCTGTTCCGAGTTTCTGTGAAAGATCGATTAGCGGTTCATTTCTTTCCACAATTTTTTGTTGGAATAAACTCACTCCTGCCCCCTCCTGCTTGCTTTTGCCACCTGCTGGGTCGTAACCTGCTGCTCGGTTGGAGGTGTTGGCAGCCGGGGCGTCTCTGCCTGGCACCGGGGCTGGCAGCAGCGGCACTTCCGGCCGCTTGTGCAGGCGCTGGGCCCTGGGCTTCGGTGCACACGCGGTGGGTTGGTGTGTCCATTGTGTGCTTGGCAGTGGCCTGTGACCAGTGGTTTGCTCACCATTCTGTCTTGTTTTTGGGACTGGGAACTGGAGAAGTTCTGTTCGTGTACATGCTGCTTTGGGACTCTTATGATTGTTTGTAACCTTTGCATTTGGCTCATGACATAAAAAGCCTTCCAAGAAATGCGAGAAACAAAACAACCTAAACAACAACAAAACAAATGGAAAACCACGGGGTTTTTATTTTCTAAGTGTGTTGATGTAAAGTCATTTAAAACTCTGATCATCATGTTTCCCGAGCACATCCCTTGCCGAGTGCTGTGAGGAGACCTCGTGTCTCCGCGCCGGGCGAGGCGGCTGACCGGGCTCTGTCTCCGCAGTGGACTGGATCGTCGCCGACATGCTGGCCGCGCGGCAGGGCGCGCTCGGGCACGTGCGCTACGTGCTGAAGGACGGGCTGAAGTGGCTCCCACTCTACGGCTGCTACTTCTCTCAGGTGCGTCCGCCTGTCGGCCGCGGGCGTGCACGTCCAGTGTGCGCTCGACACAAACGTGTGAGCTGCAGCATTGCTTGTATGAGTTTAGTAGCTTTTTCTAAGTGGAGGTGATTTAGGGTTGTTTTCACTTTTAAACAAATGCTATTTATTGATTTTTAGAGGGAGAAGAAGGGGGAGGGAAACACCGACTCGTTCCACTTCCTGATGCATTCATTGGTTGATTCTTGTACGTGCCCTGAACAGGCCCGAACCCACACACTTGGCTTATTGGGACAGCGCTGTAACTGACTGAGCCACCTGGCCAAGGCTGTTTTGGGTTTTTAATAGCGTATATTTATGTACATGTCTGATTACCTAGATAGTGAAATTAAGTAGCAAAAATGCAAATGTACAAAAATCAAACAAATAGGAAACTTTAACAGCGTAGAATTTGATAGACAGTTATGTACCTTATGAAACTACTAAGAGGAGACATTACTCCTGGGGACATAAAGAAGTAGCTTTGTATGTGTGGCACTTACCACAAGTACCAAGTATAGAGTTAATACTCAACATGGGTCATTGGAAGCATTAATGACATCCCAGAATGCCCTTCAGAATTACATAGTGACCTTCAGGTCCCAAAACTCTGTGCAGTGGGCTCCTTGATACTCAGAAAGGGTCCGGGGGCAAGCACCGTATGGGACATAAATGTACCTCCACTCAACTTTGCAATTAACTATAAACTATCAAAAAATAGTCTATATTCAGAAAGGGATTACTAGCATTTTTCTAATCCTCTTCTGACTAAATGATCTGATATTTCACTTTTTAAGTACGAAGTGTATAATCTGTATGGAAGACTTGTGTTAATAAGACTTTAATAACGGGTGGAGGAAGAGAGGCGGAAGTCAAGGTGCGCTCTGGGGCTGTGCCTGCCTGGAAGTCCCCCGGGATGGACAGGCGCCTGCATGCCCGGCCCTGCTTTCGCCGTCCTGGCCTCGTGGCGGCCACCCTCTCCTGGGTCTTCACTCTGTGCATGCACGTGTCTGTGTCCTGACCTCTTCCTACGAGGCACAGTCCCTACGAGGCACAGTCCCCACCCTCAGGACCGCAGAGAACCTCAGTTTCTTCCCCGAAGGCCCTGCCCCCAACACCGTCACAGTGCATGTTGGATTCCCAGCGTGAAAGTGGGGGCAGGACTCTGTGCACAGCAGCGCCGCATAAACACGTCTGTGGTCGGGTCAGTGCTGAGCACGCGGTTCAGTGGTTCCATACTGAGGGAAGAACTGGGACTGAGGTGCGTCTGTGATCGAGTGTTGGATTTTAAAACTATATTTTTAAGAAAGCACTTTTATTTGAACTGCCAACAAAAGTAAATGTTCGTGTACTTTCTGATATAACGTGCAGTTTTATTTATGTTGAAACATGAGAGACTTTTCAGCTGATGTTCTTTAGACGCTAATATTTGAATGTATTAAGTTTAATTCATGAAAACGCGATTCTGTGTCTCACTGCTGGGCGTCCTGGTGGTGAGCACTCTCCCCTCTCTCTGCGGCAGCACGGCGGCGTCTACGTCAGGAGGAGCGCCAAGTTCAACCAGCAGGAGATGAGGAGGAAGCTGCAGAGCTACTCCCGCGCTCGCACTCCGGTGAGCCCCCGTGCCTGCCCCGGCCGCTCGCGTGCCAGTCTCAGGCTTTCGTGAGTGCGTGAGGGCCGCTCTGCAGATACAGCATCTCAGGACCCAGGGGGGATGGACAGGTCAGAGTTGTGTGAGGGCAGCCAGAGCCCTTGGACACAGGCAGGGGTGGCTTCGGGTCCGGGCGGGTGCTGTTGCTGTGGGCCTTGTGAGGAGTGATGGGGAGAGCATTGGTGGCTGCAGTCTGTAAACAGTAAGCAGGACACCCCTCGTCACCTTACCCCTTGGCCCGCTTAGGAGCGCGAGACCCGGTGTCTTTAGTGTCGGGGGTGTTCTGGGAGAAGCAGTTGTTTTCTGTCTCTAAGTGTAAATTTGGAATGCTTGTGTTATTGAGTTATTTGAAAAGCCAAAAATAGTACCAGTATCTACAAGCAAAGAATCATTCAGTGTGACTGTTATTTCACAGCACTTTGCCCCCACCAGAGAATCTCGTTGTTCTCTTAGAGAGGTGCCGAGGTGCCCCCCACGCCCCCACCAGGCCAGCACGGCCACGTGTGCCTTACTCGCCCAGGCCCACAGGGTAGTCGTCCTGCTGCCCGGGACCTCGTCTCCCCGTGCAGGCCTCTTCCTTCTTCCTCCCTCGCCCCCCTCCCCGCCTTCCATTCTCTTTTCCTCTCTCCGGGGCCCGTACTTAAGCAAGAGTTCTCCAGTCAGCTGACCGCAGCTGACCCGTATTGGGTTTTTACCTCCGGACGTTCTCCGGCTGTCTTTCCGTCACGGCTGTCTTGTAACCCGACCTCTCTGAGGGTTCAGCTTGCAGACTTTCCAGAGCTTCACTGGTGTCCTGGGCTTGGGAGCAATATGCTTTTGGCATCTGTATCCCAGATGAAAGCCTCCTTTTTTTTTTTGTTAACTTACTTTGATGCTTGCAATAACTTTAGATTTACAAAATCCAAATGAAAAAGCTGCTATAGCTGCTATGGAAAGGGAGAGTATTCGTGAAGCACATGTCCCAGGAGGTGATAATTTCCACAGTCTGTCAGGAAGTCCTCAACTCACCGGCAGGAAAGCAGATCACTCAGAAATGGGCAAGACCTTGAGTAGACATTTCTCCAAAGAAGCCACACGGAGGGCCCGCAGGTACAGGACAAGGTGCTCTGTGTCATTATCATCAGGGAGATGCCAGCCACGGGCACAGTGACGTGTCCCCTCACACCCGTTAGAGTGGCTGTTGTCAAAAAGTCAAAAGATAACAAGTGTTGGGGAGGATGTGGAGCAAAGGGAACCCTTAGCTACTGTTGGTGGGATTGCAGGAAAAGAAGGCAGGGACCTCAAAAGATTAAAACTGGAACCATCTGCCATGTGCTTCAGCAGTTCTGCTTCTGGGCGCATGACAAGGTCTGTCCGGAAAAAAGTCCAGCCATTGTTAATACAATGAGAACAGTTTGTGGGACATCAGTGTGGCCTGGCAGCCAAGCAGAGTGGACTGGAATGGGCAGGCGTGAACAATGACAACGTCAGTGTACAAGTCAGTGGGGCGGTAGATGCCATTGAGTGAGCGTGTGCACTGTGTGGCTGCCACTTTCAAAATGACAGAGCGAGCAGAGCAACGGATCTGCATCCAGTTTTGTGCTAAGCTTGATCACTCCTCTGTGGAAACTGTTCAGATGTTTCAGAGGCCGAAGCTACAGGCACCTGGTGACTGGCAGCTTCATCACAACAACGCACCTGCTCACGCATCACGTCTCGTGCAGAGATTTTTGGTGAAACATCAAATCACCAGGTGACTCGGCCCCACTACAGCTGAGATTTGGTGCCCTGCGACTTCTGGCTTTTCCAAAACTAAAGTCACCTTCGAAAGGGAAGGGATTTCAGACCCTTGACGAGATTCAGGAAAATACAACGGGGCAGCCGACGGTGATTGGGAGAACTGTGTGTGGTCCCAAGGCACCTACTGTGAAGGGGACTGAGGCGTCATTGTCCTTTGTACAGTGTTGCTTTTATCTTGTATCTTCTTCCATAAAGGTCTCTATTTTTCAGAGTACATGGCTGGGTACCTTCTGGACAGACCTCGTATTTATACAAACACACACACAGACACACTGTTTTGAAGAGCTTCCTGAACCCCTTTGTTCCTTGCAGTAACGTTCCCAGCGGCCGAGACCATGGGAACACCCTAAGTGTCCATCCGCAGATGAGTGGGCAAAGAAGCTACGGTGTGTGTGTGCACAGTGCAGTATTTCTCAGCTTCAAAAAAGGAGGAACTTCTGTCGTTTGTGACAACATAGCACAGGAAACCTCTTTAATTGTGAAGGCCTGTTAGTGCAGCGGTGGGTGTGCAGTGAGCTACAGGTAGTCGCTGTGGAGAATCTGGTGAGTCTCGCTCTTCGCACACACCCGTGAGAGCATCCACAGCCAAGGGGGGGCATGTGGCAGTCACCCGAGCTTCCTTGTGCTTCTCCGCGCCTGTTCTGCCCCAGGGGAGTCACTGGCTTGCTCTCTGCTGTTACAGGTCAGTTGCGTTTTCCAGAATTTCACGTGCGTGGAGTCACACAGTTTGTGGTCTTTGAGGGGAGCGATCCGGCGTCGTCCACTTAGCGGGACGATTTTGGGACTCCTCCGGGGCGTGGTGTGGGCGTGCCAGAGCCTCTGTCTCTGCCCACCGCCGAGGAGGGCGGTGCCGTGCGGCTGTGCAGTTGCGCCGCGGCGTCCGTCGGCGTGGAGATGTAAAACCGGGGTTTCTGTCGTGCCTGTGACTTGCCTCTGCACATTCGTAATGGTGTCTCGACCAAAGGTCTTTCGTTGTCCTTCAGTCAGGTTTGCCGATTTCTCTCCCAGTTTCCTGTTTCAGAAATTCCTTGACAAAATCAAGGGTGTAAGCTTCTCTCCTGTTTCCTTCTGGAAGTTTTATAGGTTTAGTGTTACCTTTAGGTCTGTCATCCATTTAGAGTTAATTTTTGTATGTCGAGTGTTTGAAAAGATTAGATGACAGTCTAACTTTGTCTTTTGGCTGCCGAGCACGTTGGTGCAGGTTCTGTGACTCAGCCCCCAAACTGGGGGGTTCTCACTGTTGAGTCTCACTGTCCCTGTTGAGCCTTTCCCTGTTGAGTGAGTGTGATGTCTTAGACCAGCTGGCTGCTCAGTGAGCGTCGGGTTGGTGCTCTCATCAGTGACTTGTCAGGTCACCGGAAATGCATCCCCGCCCCGGCCAGCGGCTCAGTTGCTTGGACCGTGGTCCCAGATGCTGAAGGGTCGCGGGTTCGATAACCCATCAGGGCACATACCAGGCCATGGGTTCCGTCCCCAGTCAGGGCTTTTATGACAAGGCAGCCAGCAGATCTTTCTCTCTCCCGCTCCTGCTTCCTCTCTCTCTAAAAGCAGTGAAAAATGTCCTCAGGTGAGGATTAAGAAAGATGCATCATGGAAGCTCTGTAACACCGTCCTATGTGACATTTAACTGTAAGCACTTGCAGCCTTTTACGTTGTGGAGACTGACATGTTTATACGTGGTTTTCCTCCAATAACATGTACTGAGGGACACGGTTGTCTAAAATTTGCACCTTTTTAAAAGTCATTCTGCAGAACGCAGCAGGGGAGAGTTCTTTTATTAATTAACTGAGGCTTTGTGTGAGTCAGCATCTCATGGCCACATTTCACTGAGTGAGAATCAGCATGTAAATAGAAATGTTAGATTCTCAGTGGCTGACCCACCAGTGGATGTCCGACTGCATTTTAAACGAACACTTGAATTTTTGTGTTTTGGTGGTTCTCCTTGAAGTGAAGCTCATATGTAAACGAAAATACATTTTTCCCTCCACAGGAAATACTCTCTTAGCATTAGTAGGGCGAACGGTTAACAGCAAAAACGTCACACAAACCGAACCTTCTCTGCTCTGCAGATGTACCTTGTGATTTTCCCGGAGGGCACGAGGTACAACCCGGACCTGACGAAGGTCATCGCGGCCAGCCAGGCCTTCGCTGCTCAGGAAGGTGAGTGAGGTGCGTCTGCGTTTGCAAAGCCATCTTCAAGGTACTGACAGTTTCAGTTTTCGTTCCGAGAGAAGATGTTGGTGTTTGACGACACCCGAAGCGAACGAAGGTGCTGTGACTTGGGTGAGTGTGTGCGTCACCCCCAGGAGATGCAGGGTCTTTGCATTGATCCACACGCGTGTCGTCACCTGTGTCTGGGAGGCCAGGCTGGGCGGCTCCCGCAGCCCACGCTCTGCCACTGGGGACCCGGGCGAGTCTGTCCCGCACAGGGGGCGCAGACCCGCCTTTGTGTGTGGCGCGGGGGCTGCGGCCAGGGGGCCGGGGCTGTGGGCGGCAGGCCGAGGGCCGCGCTGACACTGGCCGCCTGGCTTGCAGCTGCTATGGCTGCGGAGCTCCAGCTTCCTCGTCCCTGTGGCTCGTGGGGGCGGCAGCCCATGCAAGGACTGGGGTGTCGGAAGATGGGGGGCCACTTCTTTCGGAGCACGCCACACGGAATTGGCTCCTGGGTGTGCGGTGCCCACGCCGGGGCGCTGTGTCCCCTGCCGGGCCACCTCTGCGCAGGTGCGGCTGTCCGGGGTCAGAGGGCGGCTGAGTGTGGGGGCGCCAGCCCTTCACCCCACTTGTTTCGGTTACTGCGCAGGGGCCGTACCCTCGCTGCCCTTGCCCCGGGAGGTCAGTGGTCCCTTCACTGTCCTCGGGGGGCTGGACTGGGCTGCGCAGTCCAGGGCACTTGGCCAGACGCTGGCGGGGGGGGGGGGCCGACGGGGGGCTGGGTCCCTCCTCACACTTCCTCTCAGCCCTTCCTTGCGGCATCTGTCGGGCGTCGTTCTTTTCCCAGGACGCAGTGCTAGGCGGGCGTCACCACAGGCTCGGGGCTGCGTCCCCAACACGCATGCGGCACAGCTGTGGACAGTTCCTGCTCCTGCTGCCGTGCCGTGTGTGCACCGGGGACCCGGTCGGCTCCCCTGAGGGGCAGCGACGAGACGGCTGTGGGCCGCAGGTGTGCTGTTTGTGCGTGAGGGGCCTGGGCATCCACGGCGCTGGTGTCCACTGGCGTCCTGGGGCCTGCGGTGCCGAGCGGGGGCAGGAGCCCTCCTGGAGTGGGAAGTGGCAGGGGGTCCCAGCTGTGAGGGGTCGGCGCCCCACCCCGCGTAGGTCAGGGGTCGGCTCTGTGATGACCGCACGCCCCTCGGAGGGTGAGACGAGTGCACGTGTGCAGGTAGACCGGCTGCACTCCGTTTCCTCCGAGTCCCGTTTCCTCTGAGACCTGGGCCCTGCATCCTCCGTCCTTTTGGACCCTGCGACCTGAACAGCACGGTTTTCAACCCTCCCTCCCACTTCTGGAGCCTGGAAGGCCGAGTCACGGTGTTGGCATGGCTGGCGGCTGTGGGTGAGAAGGGCGTGCGGGGGCCTCTGCTCCGTGCAGCACAGAGACGCCACGGTGTCCTCTCCTTTCACAGGAGCACGAGTCCCGTTGGGCTAAGACCCCCCGCCCCTCCCGCGGCCTCAGCACATCCTCACCACCTCCCCAAAGACCCCGCCCGGTCCGCGGGGCGGCCAGGCTGGGGTTCGGGCTCCAGGGGCAGCTGGAGAGGGCGTGCGCGGCCGGGCCTCCGCTCCCCTCCTGGTGGGACGGAAGCGATGCGCCGCCCTCACTCGCCCTCTCAGTCAGGTTCCTCTCGTCACCTCGGTGTCTGTCGAAGGGCCTACTGAGAGTTACTCGTTTTTAAAAATCCACGGCACTTCTCTAATGTGTTTTAAAACAAGTGCTTTTAAATAATTCCGAAAATAGTGTAAGGATGATGAGGTTGCTAAATATATTAATGATTGGCCTACCATTTTCCTGGGTTGCGGATCTTTCTCAAAGTTACCAAAAGGGGAAGAAAAATTTGTCTCATGGATATAATTTGTAACTGCTCATATTTCCTTTTTAAATTCTCCAAGAGCACTTGTTATCAGAAGTATATTTTCTTGAAACTTATGAAGGTAATTACACCCACCACACACAGACACAAAGGAAATCGATTTGTGAACAGTGTATCTACTAGAAAGAGTATGTCTGCTGTTCTTTCCTCTTCCAGTCACAAGTAAATGTGATTACTTGAAAATAAGAACAAAGGAACTTGTTTCACCATCTGTTAATTGTTCTTCAAGGAAGTTGGAACTAATAGCACCTGTTGGGCCGTGATATGTTTTGTTTCTAAACGTTATTAATTTTGTCCCTAAAGTACCTTCCTTTGATTCTGACTTTAAAAAGCACAAATGGATGTTTATAAAACTTGCCACTTGCTCAGGCACGGAAGTCACACGCCGCGCGGCCCTCCCAGCTCACAGAGGCCGCCGGTTGCCTCTGGGCGAATCTCCACCGTGAGCGGCCCCGGGCCCGGGGCCACTGCTTTCTGGCTGCGTTTTGTTCTCAGAAGGACTCAGCGTGAAGCGGGTCGAGTCTGCGTTAGCACTGTGACTTCCAAAGTTTGTGTCATGGTGCCACAAATTTTTCACGTGTCCACTTCAAAGACAGTCATTTTAACCGTCTAAATTTCCTTCTTACTTGAAACTGAATGTTACTCGTTCTTTTACAAAAGGCTTAGTCACGTTACCCAATAAAATACTCATGGTTTTGTTTAACTGTGATCGGTCTAGGACAAAACTTAAGTTTCCAAGAGGTCTGAAGTGTAGGTAGAGTCCTTGTGAAACGACTTAATGTCAGGAAAGCTGGGTGTTCACGGCTGCCCGATCTCCCGGCAGCGAGTTGGGGGGGCGGGATTCGCTGTCAGGGAGGCCCCTGCGGGACTGGCCACTTGGAAAAGCGATGGCGAGCGTTTAGTACTGAGAACCTCGATGTCAGACGGGGACCCGGCAGTGTATCGGTGTGTGAATACGAACGAGCAGTGTAATACGTAACTGTAACGCACTACGTGTACAGCAGATCGGGTCAGCATGGGTAAACTAACGAGGGAGGCGAGCGGTCTTTCCGTGAGTGCATTTCTGAGGGGTTTGTTCTGTCAGGTGCTGCTGGCCTGTGAACCCAGCGACCCTGTCAGGAGCACCGCCCCCCCTCCCGCCTGCGCCTCCTTTGCCCGCTGTTGGGAGAGTGTGGCTGTCTGTGCTGGGGTCTGCGGGGCGCGGGAGAGGCCACAGGGGCAGCCACGGGGGCCTCGGTCACGGTGGAGTCGGCGTCGTTGGGATGCGGAGATGGGAAGGGACCGACTGCTCTGGAAGACCGCGCTCCAGCCTCACGTTCCCAAGCTTGAGTTTTCCCTCCGGCCTCCTCATCATACTGGACAGAGACTAGGAAGGGATGAAGGGAAAGCCCCCAGCGTCCGTTCATGGCGACCCTCGGGCTGCCCACCCTCCAGGAGTCCGACTGCAGCCGTGGTCCGCTGCTCGGTCCCTTGGCCTCCTTCGCCTCATGCCGGTGGCGTGGCGCCTTGGTCAGGCGATGGCCTTAGGGGCACCCGCAGCAGGGGGCAGTGCTGTGGGCCTGGAGGACCGAGGGGGAGGAGCAGGGCACCTGTCCTGCACTCGCCTCGTGCCGTACACTCGAGTGGTGCTGTGAACCCGGCAGATGTGCAGCGACTTTGAGAGCTGGGTTATTCCTGTGGCCATTTCCATGACATTGGCTCACAGGGCCACACCAAAATAAACTGTAGGGCAGTTCATACCCCCTGTCTTTGCACATGTCTTCCAGCTGCCCTTTTGTGACTTCTTGATCTGCTCAGGCCACAGTCCAAATTCCAAAGCGGTGGCTGAGCGGTGCCCTAACCAGCAGCACTGGTGGCGTCCGGAAGTGTGACCCACACTCGGGTCTCAGGACCCACCCAGGCCCGCCTGGCTGTGCTGAGTCAGGCGTCTGGGGGCAGGCCGAGCCCCGTGCGGCCTGCGCACCCCGGTGGGCAGAACCGCGCTCACATCTGACGGAGATCGGCAGGGCGGGAGGGCCAGGGTTTTGTGTTTCCGGCACGTGTGGACTGGCACCTGTTGGCAAACCTTTACTTCACACTCACGTTCCAAAGGAAAAGAAAAAGTGGTTACGTGCCCGTCAGAGCAAGAGGCCGAGGCCCTGCGCCTGGTGACGTCCGGGCACCCCTTTCGCCACGTGCGCCCGTGTCCGTCACACCCGGGGTTCCACTGCGGCCAGGCCTCCGCGTGGCCGTTTTCGGCTTTCAGTGCTGGCTGGGGACTCGGGGACGCGCGTCCTGGCCTCCTCCGGCGCCTGCCCGTGAGCCCGAGTGGTTTTCCCCCAGAGCAGCGAGCAAGGTCCCGCGACCTTCCTGAGCCCTGAGCCCTCGTATCAGAAAACAGGGATTTATTGTGTCCTCTGAGACCGCAAATCAAATACCCGGGACTTTCATGCTTCAGGCAAATAAACGGCTTCTCTCAGCGTCTGGGTTGCAGCCCTCGTGGGGCCTGACTTCCCCAGACCCCCCAGGCCCGCGGACGTGCCTGAGCCTCGCCACTGGGAAGCTCTCGCCCTGCGACCCGGCCCCTCCCCGGCCTTCCTCCCAGCTCCCTCCGGTCCCCGACTCCGCGTCCCTCTGTGGGTGTCTGCCCCACAGACCTGTCCCGGCCTCTCCAGCACCCTCTTCTTCCTGAAGCTGTCACCCGAGGAACAGGCGGGATGGAAACCGCCTTCGGAAGGACTGCTGCTTTCACCCTCCGAGAGCATTTTGTGCCTTCAGGACGTTGCCGCGAGCTGGGCCTTTGGCGTCTGTTTACCGCCTCGTGACTCTGAGTTGGCGTGTGCGTGGTTTCGGGGTCGTGCCCTGTTGCACGTCCTGGACAGACAGACAGCACAACGCGTCAGGAGCTTCCGGGCTGTGTGCCCAGAGCAGAGGGGCCGGCGCTGTGATGAGATGGACACGTGTCGTATGAAGTCTCCTGCATGTGTCAGTGCACTGTCTGGTCGCCTGCCACCCCCTGCAGATTTCCACAGTGCAACACCAGCAGCAGCCACACCCGCTGGGCCCTGGGGGGAGCCCTGTGCAGGGCGGGAGGAAGAGCTGTGGGGGTGGCCGTCAGGACAGCAGACCAGGGGGCGGGGACCGGGTGTTGGCCTGGGTGAACGGGCTTGATTAGCTACTGCTTGTACCAGCCGAAGGCCGGGACTCGGGGTCCCCTGCAGATGGGGTCCCCTCCGTCGGTGCCACGGGGGACACTGGGGTCTGAGCAGTGGGTGACGGGGGCCTGTTCTCAGCTTGAGGTGAATCGTGGTCGGCTGCTCCATTATCGGCATGAACTGGTTTTATGACCGTGTCTCGAGGTTTTGGGCTCGGAGAGCCCTCCTCCCTGTTTGTGCCCAAGGACCCCTGCGTGTGACACTGGAAATCCTTGTCTGGGTGGGCTGGGGGCCCTGGGTCGGGGATAGGAGTATGAGGTGCCTCCTGATCACCAAAGAAGGGCCGCGTTCTACTTGTTGTCCAGGGAGGGTGCCACGGTCTCTTGTCTGGGGCCTCACTGAAGCCACCCCCACTTCCCTGCACTGCAAGCACTAGTTCAGGTGACGTGGCACCTCCCTGTCCCAGGGTGCATCCCAGCGCAGCCCGTCTGTGCCGTCTGTGAGTGCACTCGACCCCGGGCGCCTGTTCTCTGCCCGTCTCTGCTTCCGGTCCCCTCTTCCTCCCCTTCGGGCTGTCATTTTTTTGGAACTGGGGCAGGGGCTGGGCCCAGATGGGGGCTCGGGGCCTCCTCCGGGAGGGTGTTGTGCAAGGCTGCAGGTCCCGGGGTGGGGGGCCCAGTGTCTGCCCACAAAGCCGCCCCCGTTCTGGACCTTGACTGCCACGAGGTTTTAGTGGAACCCACTTCTGCTCTGTCTTCTCACTCGCTTTCTCAGTGTCTGCCCAGTGCCCGTCCCCCTGGACCCCACAGGGCGGCTCTGTGGGACTCGGGTCTCCACGGTGGGTGCGCTTCCGGGACAGGCGGAGCGCAGCACCCCACGCAGCCCTCTCTCCTAGGTCTGGCCGTGCTGCAGCACGTGCTGACGCCGCGCGTGAAGGCCGCACACGTCGCCTTTGACGCCATGAAGGACTACCTAGACGCCGTGTATGACGTGACGGTGGCTTTCGAAGGGACTGTGGACGGGAAGGGGCAGCGGAAGGAGGCTCCGTCCATGGTCGGTGAGTCCCGCGCCCTCGGGCCCGTGTCGCCCCCTTCCTCCCAGCAGCTGCGCGCCCCTGGTGTCCTTCCCTGGTGCACATCCGGTGGTTTCTATTCGTCCGCGAGTTTGCATTTCTCCAGGTTTGCTAAGTGGGGTGATTCCTGGTCGCCGTCTCAGTCCTTCCGAGGGTGGGGACACAGCGCTCACAGAGCCCGGCTCCCTGTCCCTGGGCCAGCGGCCGTCACGCGACGGGGGAGGTGGTTGTGGGTGTGGGAATGCGGCGCCCCCTGCAGCTTGACACCCAGACCAGCGGTTACCACCTGTGCCTCTCCTTTGTTTCGCTAAGGAAGCTGCGCCTTTTTGTTTTTAAACATCTTTTTGCCTCCATTTCATTGTTATTTTACATACCTGTGATTTCTACAATAAAAACACAAAATATTTTTATTTTTTGTTAGAATTCCTCTGCAAAGAATGTCCAAAAATCCACATTCACGTCGACCGCATAGACAAGAAGGACGTCCCAGAAGAACAAGTGTCCATGAGAAGGTGGCTTCACGAGCGCTTCGCAGTGAAAGACAAGTGAGTGCCAGCAGCCCGTGTGGCAGTGCCTCCCTGCTGAGTCCCCCGTGCTGAGCTGTCGGGCGGCTCCGCACAGCACTGCTCACTGGAGCCTTTGCCGCCCCGTGCCCCACGTCCCTAGGAGAGCTCCTGGAGGCTGGGCCCCGCCCTGCCCCATCCGCACCCGCGGTCTCTCCGAAGTGGTGCCCTATGGTGAGACGCCGCGTTTCATAGAAAAAGACAAGGCACCGCACGGTGCCCCGAGCCTGCCGCCCCAGCTCAGATACAGTGGCAGGACTGGGGGGATTGGCCATCAGGCTGCCAGCGTGGAAAATGGGGCCGAGGGGACAGACCGTGTCCCCTGTGTGCATGGGACGTGACACCGCATTTGGTTGAAAGGAGGGCAGGGCGGGTGTGTTTGGTGCCTCTGGGGTGAGGCACGGCTTGAAGAGGTCCGTCGGGGCGTGCGTGCCCCTCACTGAAGGAGCCGCAGGGGGCGTGGAGAAGCGTGAGTGCGTCTTGGATTCCATGCACGTTTCCAAAGGCAGGGGGTTCAGAACTTCCTCGCCTTCCTAGGAAGACAGAAAGTGGGCCTTGGGCTTCGGCCGTCCCGGGCAGGGCCTGCAGGGCGAGTGGCCTGCTCGTGCTTGTCCTGTCGCCGTGGCGGTGCGCGGTTTGAAAGGCGGGTTTTAAACGCCTCTGCTTCTATTTCCCGTGTGAAACAAATGGACCCTGCACTACAGTTAGAGCGCCCATGTCATAAAGGCCACGTTGAAAAGCGTGCTTTTTTAAAGGCTTCAAAAAACAGTGTCAGGATTAGGTTTATGTTCAGAAACTTCCCCGGGGGCTTCAGTCTCCGCACGGGCACCTCCCCAGGAGGCCGCGGCGGTGCCCCCTCCGCACTGCGCTCTGGCAGAGCGCCTGGCCGCACGCCGACCCCAGTGCTCCAGGCCGCGCAGGGCACAGACCCGTGGGCGGGGCTCTTGGTGTCACTGACTCTCGGTTGCTCATGACTGGACTTAGAAAACCAGGGGGAAACTGTACAAGTCAGATCGCTATTTTTCGACATGGCAATCTCTTCTTGGGGGAAAAAAGAGGCCTGAACAACACATTTAATATCCAGTGTATTTTGTCTTACAAGCATTTGTACATATTTAGGATGAGTCTGGGTATTTTAAAACTGGATATTGCTAGGGAATGATCCTCTAGGGCAGAAGAAGGACTTTTCATTTCTGTACATTTGCATTTGAGATTATTATATTGAATGTGTTCCGCTATTAAAACTTTACATTTTTGAAATAAGATGGGGAATGAATTAACTTTACTTTCCCTCTTGGCTGCTTGTATGATTCCAGGGGCTAAGGCCTTTGTGCTGTGAGCTCCGCTGACCTGTCCCTGCCTTGGGGCCAGGTGGGGGAGGGGCGGGGCAGGTGGAGAGGAGGCGAGGGGATCCTCACCCGACTGCGGGTCAGGTCACGGCGAAACGGTACAAAGGCCCCGCATCCCACGGCTGGGAGCCACTGCGTGTACCGTGGCGTGTGCACTCTCACTGACCGCGTCACGGGCCTCGTAGGAGCCTGCAGACTCCGGGGACCCGGCTCTGGCTGTTGCCCTTTTCCTCGTTGTTTCTCAGGGGCCCGCACCTTTCCCAGCGCGTGGCGGGTGCCCGCTGGTGTGCGTTGGGTTGGAGTGTGGAGCTGACTGGAGCCGAAACTCACCGTTTTCTGCCTTCCGGCTACAGGTTGCTTATAGAATTCTATGACTCACTGGATCCAGAGAGAAGAAACAAGTTTCCTGGGAAAAGTGTTCATTCGAAACTGAGTCTCATGAAGACGTTACCGTCACTGCTGATCCTGAGTGGCCTGACCGCCGGCCTGCTTGTGACTGAGGCAGGGCGCAAGCTGTACGTGAAGACCTGGGTCTACGGGACCCTGATCGGCTGCTTGTGGGTCAGCATTAAAGCGTAGGACTGTCCCCGGCAGCCGGACAAGCCGTGTTGGTTGTTGCGGGCGGCCGCACGCTATGTCACATTGTTTCCCGAGTTTGCTCCAACCTGTAAATAAAGCCTTACTGAGTGAACATCGGGTCAAAGAGAGTTTCTGACCGAAGCCACAGTTGGTCTGGCAGGCTCGCAGGGTCCCCAGCTTCCGTGCGGGAGCCGGCAGAGGGGACAGGTGCAGAGCGTCCTAGCTGCACGCGGTGGCCGCGTCTGCACCGGCCTCGGCTCTGGGAGGCGGTTGTCCTGTGGCGTCCTCTGCGGCCCTGTGACTCAGCCATTACGGTCTGTTCCACGGTATTTGTTGTTTCCCAGTTTTTACCACTCGACCGGTCCAAGCTCTTGTCATTGAAGTATTAAATACCTTACAGCTAGGTGACATTTTGCTTTCCACATACTTTCTCTGAGTCGGTGGAAGAAACTGTGTTTGAGCACTGAGCGGGGTGGGGGAGGCTCCGGGGCACCTGCTCCCGGTTTCCACTCACTGTGTGTTTGCAAAATGATTCCCATCTCGCGTATTTATTGAAACAGCTTAATTTGCACACCCCGCACTCTGTACAGAAGACTAATGTGTAAAATACAAGAATTAAGTTAACATTGTGGCCCTCCTTCTTGTAAAGCAACTTTAAGTTGCCCAGCATTGTGAAGATTTAGGCCAAACCCTCAGAACCTCTCAGCATCTGTGCCACGCGTACTCGAAAACCTGGGGGTTTCCTTACATTGTTTTATCACAACAGTCGTTGTGTCCCTTTGTTGGACCTGGTCCCACCAAAGTTGGAGGTGCAGGGGCCTCCAGGCGCCTTCTGGTTCACTAGCACGTGCCTTGCCGTCACTCCCGGGCCAGCGGAACGCCCAGTCCTGGTCCTTCTCGGCAGGCGTGGGGCCGCGGCGCCGTCCCGCGAAGGTGGGTGTGGCAGCTCTCGTGAGGGTGCCTTGCTGGCTGCAGTGAAGACGTCGTGCACCTGTCTCTTGTCGGGAACTCTGCCTCCTCCAGCCAGTGAGATGCGGTGCAGACCCGTGGCTCATCCGTGCCACTCGGAGCCAGAATCACCTTCAGGTGCTGAGCCACCGAGAGTTCGGTCCTGGCGCGGTGGGCCCCATGCCAGTGGACTTATTCTCGTCCTCCACGGTCTGCCCTCGGTCCGTGCCGCTGGGGGGTCGGTCCCAGGCTGTGTCGTCCCGTGGCTGAAGTGGAAAGCAGTCTGAGCGACCCCTGGGACCGGGGCCGCTATTGCGGGCAGCGCCTCTGAGGAGCAGGGCAGGGGGCACCAGTCTCTCTGTGTCCGCCTGTGCACATGCTCACACTTTCCACACGTGCCCACAGGGGGCACTTGGCCTGATGGGCGTGGGGGGTCGGCAGGACTTCTGAGGAGTGCGCTCCACCCAGATCGCAGCGTCCTCTTACCTGGGAAGTGACGTTCAAGTCTGTCAGGGTCCTCGTCACATGCTTCCTGTGAAGTCCTGAACTGAGACCCTGCTTCTGGTAGATCCAAGTAAACGCAAGTTGTGTTACCTTGAATATAATGGGTAAGCTCTAAATCTGAATTTTAAGAAGCAATACCGTTAGAATTTTATGGATTATAATTGATTTAAAAAAGGCAAAGTAAACTGCATAAAACCACTCGAAAATCATGTTTTTTATCACTATACTTATATTCTTCTCACAAGGGGTCTTTAAAATATTTGTTAGTTAAGAAATTTGTGTCAAAATATTTGGAAAATTAAAAGCTTCTTTTTAACGTGTGTTGATATCATTTGAATAATTTTCTAAAATTAAGAGCCCCGAACCTACTTGTAAATCTCTTCCCATAACATCACTTCAGCTTTCGTTTGTGTTATCTTGGTTTACAGCTTAGTTAGTATTTCTTTGTAAGAACGCCATAAATGTGCATGCTTTTATGTTTTTCAGAAAACAGTGTGTTTAGATGAAAGTAAAAGGAAAAATAAAACCTTTCACTGTCTCTAATGTGTGTGCTATTTAACATTTTGTGACCAAAAATTCACCAGCAGTTTTCCGTCGCATGCAATTGGCTTTATGGCTGGGTCCACATTTTGAAAATATAAAACTGGAAAAATGGGAATACTGTTTTTAAAGTGCTGAGCCCATTTTTGAGAATATATACATGCAACACCCCAAACTGTGAAGCAGCACAGTACTTCAATCGTCTGAACCCGCCTGCGTCTCCTGTACGACGCACAGCAGTGTGCGGTGCTTGACTCTTGCTGAGTCTGTGGGACCTCGCGGGCACCGGCCAGCTGCCTGAGCGTGGCCGCCTGGGCCCAGGGCCCGTGGGACCAGTCCCCCGCCATTCACAGGGGCGGCTTCCGCGCGCGCGCTCCTGTCTTCGGATTCCTCTCTCGTTCTCCGTGGCGCCTTCTCATCCTGAGGACGCACGCTTTGCTCTTTCCTATGTAGCATCGCACGGCTTACTGTTGTGTTTTAGGAAAGGTCTGTGTCGAAACGGGCAGAAAATCCGCTGTCAAGTATGGGCAGCGCCAAGTGGCAGCCGGCTGCCCAGCAGGCTCGCATCCACCACGGCAGTACTTCCTGTGTGCAGTTGCAGCCTTGACCGTGTCTGTTCTTGGAGTGTCATTTCGGGGACGAGATAGGCTCGGCTGTGTTCCAGGGACCACCCACAGAGTAAGTTCCATTGTCTCCGCTTATGAGCACACTTGCGGGTAGTTTGTGAGTTACTAGGGTTTCTGGAGGACCCAGTGCAGACCTGGAGGTGCTGGGGCCGCACCTATATGTGTTGTAGGTGTTGGGGTGGGAGCTTCACTTGGCACGTGATGCATGAAATGAGACCCAGTACTGAGAGCTCAGGGCCAAGCCCGTGCCACTCTGTGCCAGGACACGCCGGAGGGGAGTCGGGCACCCCCGGCTCACTTGAGAGGTGTGCAAAGGGCCGTGACAACGGAGGGCAACACTGAGACGTGAGTGTCAGAGCTGAAGCCCTGACTGGTGCGGGTCAGCGGGTAGAGTGCCGGCCTGCGAGCCACAAGGCCTGCCCTGCAGAGAGGCCGTGTGGACGAAGTGAACTCACAGGCTGGGCAGGGGGCAGGCACTGAAACATGGCCACGGTCGTCACACGTCATGGCAGTGAAAGATGCCACCGCTGCCTTGCTGCACGGCCTGACGGTCAAGGTCGAGCGGTGCGCTTAGCGTGGGCCCAGCCCACAGAGGCTGCTGGGCGGCGTTTCCCCTTCTGCAGAGGGGCAGCCGGGAGCTCTGTCCCAGCCGGGCCTCGCCCTGCAAAGGAGATGCTGGTGCTGCGGAAGCCAGTGCCTGAGGTGGCAGCTGGGAGCCGACAGAGCGAGTTTCTCCTCTGAGTCTGGGGGGAGAGCGGGTGGGTGTTAGGGACGCCATCCTCCTTCCTCCGGTGGGCTCTGGGCCGGGGGGCTCCGCCCCAGGGGCGGGCTGTGAGACCAGGGCCCAGGCTGCAGCGGGCATGCTGTGGGCAGCTCCCCGCCATCTTCTCTGAGGACCAGTGCCTGGGTCAGGCTGGGGGAGGGGCTCCTCGCCGGGGCCTCCCCAGCAGAGGCATTAGGTGTCTGCACTGCTGGCTGTGCCCCTGTGTCCTCATCGCCTTGTTCCCGAGGCCCTTCAGTCCCCAGAGTGGCAGGGGTTTAAAGGGTCACGGGGCCCCGTGTTCTCTGATGCATATGCACCCGTGCAAGAGAAGAAGAGGCCTCGTGAAGAGACGGGAGGAAGCAGCCGCTTAGGTTTTCACGGCGAGTGTTCCTTTGAAGCCCGTCTGCACATGCGCAGTGGGCGGCAGTGGGTAGCGGTGCGCCCCTGGACTTGGGTTCAGGTCCAGCCTGTGGATGGGTGGAGAGTGGAAACCGCGCGGCTGGATTTGAGTCCTTTTGCCGCCCCCTGGTGGCTGCTCGATGCCAGAACTGTGCTTCAAGAGGGGCACGGCCCCCCGTCCCTGCATGGCGTCCAGAGGTTCCCTGAGACTTCTGGAGCCGTGGGGAGGGCCACCAGCCTCTCCTGTCCCATCCCCACCCTGAAGGATGGGCCCTGCAGGGAAACACCTCAGCCCACCTGCCCCCTCCACTCCTCCGGGTCTTACACCTGGCCTGCCGGTTGGCGGCCTGTGCTGTGTGTGGTCTGTGGCTCTGGCCCCATCCCCTCCCTGGGGCCTCACCCTTTTCCAAGTCACTCCGGGTGCTGGGTGCTGGGAGCCCTTGGGTGCAGTGCTGCCATGTCCCACTGCACCCTGATGGGGAGACGAGCTGTGGGTGGGAATCTTGTCACCTGTGTGCTCCATCCGTGTGAGATACGCCACCGCCCTGCAGCCGAGGGGGCGGCACAGGAAGGCCTGGTCACGAACACCCGTGGACAGGGCCCTGGGATGCCCCAGGGGCCACACTGCAAGGTCCTGGTGCAGGTGGGACAGTCACTTTTGGAGAAGGAAACCGAGACCAGAGTGGGTAGGAGCCTGGCCTGGGCACCTGCCCCGAGGGTAGGGTCCCCTCACTGTGGCAGGTGGCAGCCTTCCCGAGCGGCAGAGGTGGGGGCAGGTGGTTCTCTGAGAAGAAGAGGACGAGGACCAGACCAGAGCTGCCTCCCCCATGTGGGGACACCTGGAGGAGGGTGTCCCCAGACACAGGACTGCTGGTGCCTGTCTCAGACCCACTGGTGCCGTCACCGAGGCCCCGTGGCAGTTGGCTCCAGCGGCCCGTCTGATGTGTCCTTGGAGGGCAGTGGCGTTTCCCCTGAGCGGGTGGCACCTGGGCAGAACGGCCCCAGAGGTCTCCAGCAGCAGGAGGTCACGGGGGAGCACCTGAGTGACCTTGGGGTTTGCCTGCAAATGTGGGGTGTGTTTCAGAGTGAAGCAGACGGAGGCGGAGAGGTGGCATTTGGGAGCCGAGGAAAGGCCTCTCCTTTCTGGGCAAAAGGTCCTCCCCGTGGCGCCTTCCTGTTTTCCTGGGACCGAGCCCTGCGTAGCAGACAGGGCCAGTGGCAGCAGAGGATGTGGCGTCACGGAGCATCAGGGCCAGCCCGGAGTCTGGGGAGTCTGGGCGGCGTGCGGGAGAGGTGGCGCCCTCGGACTGGAGCACAGAGGGGCGGCCACAC